AAACAAACGAATGAAGCCTTTATTTCCTATGCGAGATTGCATTGGCACGTAACTACCGGAAATGGACTGAAGTGACCGCTGGAGTAACGGAAATAACGAAAAGTAAAACGTCGCCTGGAGACCTATTCGCTTACGACACACGGGATTCACGATCTTCTCCAAACAGACATTTTAATAGCGGAATAGACCTTTCCTCGCGAAGTCCATTCCATCTCTCCCAACATTTCACCTTCCTTTCCATCTTTTTCCTATATTTTTCCGTTTTTTGCGACGAAATCGGAATTCCAACTTTGCCATCTGATGTTCCGGAAAACTGGAGCACGCGTTATTTCCTTCCTATGCTGTATTAACTTCCTACGGATGGATAGCACAATTTTTATATAGATTACACTCGAATTGTATATTTCCATCCAATTCCCATTGCAATTTCAATTTCCAGTTTTATTTTAATAATATTTACTGAAAATTATTTATTACAATCAACATTTTTTTTATAACTTTTTTTATTACTGAAATATAACAATAATTAATATCTTTCCAATTTTTCTAAAAATAATACACACTATTCTTACAATCCCCACTATTTATACAAAAAAATTACTGTTCCAGTTTCTTCTATAATTCCAATTTTCTGCTACATTTCACAATTCGTGAAATGAAACAAAAATATATATCATTTAAAAAATTTCTAGAATTTAAATTTTCAGTTTAAGGAAGAAGAAGAAAGTGAAATAGAACAATTTCTACAATCCCCATACCAAATGTCGCTCACTATAAGTCCTTTCAAAGTAAAAAAAAAAGTCGATACAAGGATGCAGCGAGGATTGAACTCAAGAAAAGCGCCTGGTTAAGATCTAATAACAACAGAAATCCTGAATCTTTAGGAATTGTCCTTAACAAATGGCTGTCCCGATTAATAGGAATAGATTGTATTAAATATTAAAAAAAAAATAACAATTTTCTAAAAACGCATCTCTTTTCAGCTAATTTTATTTATTGTATTTTATTTTTGTATAGAAAATATTAATTTAAGTTTGTTCGATTCAACTAAAAATGTTAACCATTTTTCAGTAAACTTCGCAATTTTTCAATCATTCAATTTGCATACAAATCTCAAGTAAATAATATAATAATTTACTGATTTTTAATTATATATAATTGTTTTTGTTTTACAATTATACCAATTTCAGTAAAAATAAAGTAATGATGAAAAATTAGCTGTACTCTATTTATCTATAGGCGATTGTAAAATTAATTGCTTCTGTGGTATTGGTTATTGGTAGAGGCGGTGACTGTATTGAATTTCAGTTCATAATTGACATTCAGGATTCTCACTTGTTCCAGCAAGCTGCATGGGTTTTCACACAGCAATTAATCCTACAGTTTGAATTTCCGGCGCAGCATTGTCGGTCACGATTTTCCGACAGATTCAGAATTACTGACCGGTTTACGTTACGTTCCATTCCGTTCCGTTCCGGTCGGCTCTGTCAACATGTTGTTTTCGAAATTCGATGCATTATTTAATTACACGCAAAATAAGCAAATAAAGTTCCTTACGTCGTGCCCAATCGAATATCTGATCCACCTAGTTTAATCTATATGTAAATAAAGCTGGCTCCTTTCAATTTGCCTTTCCCTCCAGATGCAATGCAATTAATCTTGTTATTCCATATTATCGATTTCAAGTTTGGGGGAACTGTTGGTATAGCATCACTACCTTTCGGGATGCTGTGGAAAGAAAGATCATTTACAAATCAAACAACTTCTAAAGAATTTAATTAAAAGCACAGCGTCGGATTCAAGTACACTTCTCCTTATTTACTTATAATTAGAAATGTACAAAACATGTTCAATACTCAATTTTCAATCAGTCCTTACTCTTTATTTACTTTAATTAATTTACTTACAATTTATCTTACAAAGAAAACAAAGTTCATTAATTTACTAAAAAAAAATGGAATATTTACCTAAATTTACCTCATTCTCTATTTTTTTTTTATAATTTAATAAAATTATTTTCCACTGTTATGTTACTTCAAGTTTGTTTCGATTCAACTAAAATTTAATATCGTTTTTCAGTAAAGTTCGAAATTTCTCTAATTAATTAATGAGATTATGCTGTAAATGGAAAATTTACAATTTGTTAAAATTTTGTGTTTTCTACTTATAATTGTAATGTAAAATCTGATAACACTTTTCACTAAAGTTCGAAATTTCATTTAACTATCTTCATTTGCATGTATTCTCTTACACTTTAAGAAAGTTTCCAACTCGTTTCGGAGGTTGTTCGCGTTATATTCATTTGTAACAGTTGTTTCCTGAATTATATAAGAACCAAATTGTAGTAAGTAAATCAATAGTTTTCGAATTTGATCATTCAGAATTTATTAATTTTGTTTTAATTCTTTGAAACAATTCATCAAATTTTTAATTATAAAACATTTTCATACGAAATGTTTACCGAATATTTGTTTAGATTTTTCTAATTCCTTAAATTTATAATTAAGTTTATCGATGTTTGTATCGATTCTATAATTCCATTGACTTTAATCAATCATTTGATACATTTTCCAATTTACTTTAAACCATAAAACTCATATTGTACAACCACTTCAGGATTATTTTAAGAGGACATTTGACATGAAAGCTACTTATAAGTATCGTCCGTTTAGAAGCAATTGGGTATGAAATAATGAAATGATACAGAACAATTTACGATAATTCACGGCATTTCGTAATATCGTTTCTCATGTGGCATCTGTGAAACTCCGTTACAAATAACTTTATTGATTAGAATGAATATTGATATTAAATACTTTAGTATATTCGAATAATCTTAAAAAGTAAAGCAAACATAAAAAAGTAAATAAGTTTTCATGATATTTCATAATATTCAGTGTAATAAGATTTATGCTTAATAATAAATTAAATAAAATTTTAACTATATAAAGACATAAACAACAAAATAAAATGGTAAGTAATATACGTTAGACAGGATGAGACAAAAAAATAAAAAGGACGAAGCTTTGCAATCAGGAGGAGGATGTTTTTTTTTCGCTCCTGCTGGGAATTTCATTTCGCGCAACAGTGGCCAGTGGATGAGAAAAAGATGGATGGAAAGCCGACAAGATTTGGTATTCAATAAGAATGTAAGACCAGTTTGCGCGTCCCAGGATAATATGTCCGAGGTTGGAAATCCCCGAAAACTTGGATATACACAATATCGATCATCTCAACCCTCTATCCAGTATCCCCACTATTACATTAAGATATTAAACTGTGTTCTCATATTTAGTCATGCAAGTGCTGATAGTGGCCTAAAGCCATAGCAATCTTATACTCATACATCTTGACCAAAAACTGGATGCGATCTAATCTAACATAAAGGCAGATGATTTATGTCCTTTCGGAAAGTGCAACGAGGGTAAGATTTATTTGAGATTTAATAACGCAAAGGAAAAATAACTGGATCCCAATAATGTCCTGAAACCACCTGAATAAATAATGTCCAGAATCGGTGCGGTTATCTTTGCCACCGCCTTCGACGATCTTTTGCTCGTCCTTATTGTATTTTTAACCGTTCCAATGGTAATATTGACTTCCCCACGAACTTGCTGGCTATCTTCAATTATAATCTCGAACCGTTCGACTTAATTTTGATGTAAATGAATTCATTTCGATTCCTCCTACGTCCCAAACTCAATTCCCTTTCTGATTGAATTTAAAAGGAACAATGTTATTCCTACACTGAATACATTCTACCAACTTACTTATCTACTACTCTTTTCACTATACTTTGTTTCATTAAATATACATTTTCTTTTGAGCATTTATTACTTTCTTTTTAAATAGTTTTTGGACATAGTTTATTTCACAAAATTAAATAAAAAATATATTATGAGCATTTTTTTCGGTTATAGTAATTAGTTTATGATACTAAGCGAAACGCTAAATGCATTAAGAGAGATTCAAAGTCAAAGAAAAGCAAATGAACTCGGATTTGCAAAGCCTGCGCTTTCTTTCCGCCTCGTTTGGAGAGGTTCTGAAAACTTCACTTGTGCTGCATTATTTATGCTCATTCTTTTTCATCCTTTCGACTTTCGGTTCTTTGCCACTTGTTTCTTTTTCGTGTCTCGATGTAGTTCCTTTCTCTTTCTTTCTCCTCTCGTTCTTTTTTACTTCTGAATACATTGTGGAATCTGTGAGAAACACGCGACGCTTTCAGGCGCGGCCGAAAACTTCTAGCGGCATTTGTATCGCGACTTTTCCGTATTTTCCTCGTCCATTTTCCGCCACCCGTTTCCCCTTTTTTACCCCCGTAACTCGGATTCGCGTTTATTTGGGTCAAGCCTGAGAACCTCTGCGCGATAAGTTAATTACAAAGTCCAATTGATATTCCCAATGGGGAATAGGGTACAAACCATTTGTTATAGTAATTAAAATAAATTGATCCGGCCAGCTTAGCTTTTTCAATTAAACGTCTTGATGGTCTCTGATAATAGCTTATCAAGGAAAAGCAAACTTTAAAATAGTTATTTTCATCTTCTTTTTATACTTTATTAAAGACTTTCTTGAAATAATCACAATTTTACTCATTTTTTTTTTCACAATTCTTTTTGAACTAAACAAAACTTTGAATTACTGAAACAATCACAATAACATAATTAAACTAAAAATTGAAGAACTTGCTGCAAAGGGTTAAAATTTTACATGTTTTTTTTCAAAAATAAAATACTTACTTTTTCCATTGTTAATTCATATATTTATTACTTAATTAACTGTAAGAAAAACCAGTTTGAAAAGTTTTTTCAGGAATAAGGTTTTTCCTGAAAAACTATAATTCATGAAAGGTGTTTAGATGTACAACCAAAAGATAAAAAAGATGATTTTTGATAATTGAGTATCTTGATTAGTTAATATCTTTCAATTTTCTTGATTGAAAGTCATGTAATCATCATTATGTAATTGTGCAAGTATAAACTGTTGATTATTTGTTGCAGGGTATAGCATCTTTCATTTCATACTCGACTGCTGCTGGTATATGCATTGCGACCACTGAGAAGATCCAGAGGAACTCGCGGCTTGATGACTTCGACCGCATCATCGAGAAGCTCATCCAGAAGCCACAGGCCCGGGCCGTCATCCTGTTTGTTGACGAGGATAACACCAGGTTAGCCGCATAATCTGAATCCAGTTTATTAGTCCTCGGAGGTTCTGTGCTTTACCGTTACTGTTACCCTTACACTTACCGAACAACCCTATCCCGTTTTGTTGAAGGCAAATTGTGCTAATCGCATTTACCGACCGTCGCGGCGACGGCACACAGCACAGGAACTTTCCACGGAAGTTTCCAAATTAATTCGAACCTAATTATTCCGCCTAATTTCTTCGCACTTCTCACAAAGAAAAACATTAGCTGCAAATGAAATATGCAGTTACGACTGACTAGTTAATTAATTCACTTTAATCACGTTCAGTCTTGAAACGGTTCTACACTTAATTTAAACGTACACGAAATGAATCGTGTCATTCATTTCTAATTATTTTCTTTAAGTATCTCATTAAATAGTATTAAAACGATACTTATTTTATTATTGTTTACTTAAACTGTACAACATTTGATCTCAAATTGCTTTAAATATTTTATGCACAAAACCTGATTTCAAATGTTGTATACAATACATTTTAAATTCAATTTAGCAGTATTCATCAGACGCCAATCGAGTAGTGGTTTTATAATATTTTTCTTAAACGGCATGCGAGTAACGATGTTACGAAATGCCGCGCGTATAACAGAGGATTTAGGACTTTTACTATATTAATTTCAGAACTGGCTGAAATTTGAATGCGTTGATTTTTTTGTGTAAATACGTTATTTTTTCAATTTTTACCGTAATAAACGGATTTGTTTTCTGCAAATAAATTCGAGTAAAAAAACCTCGTGTGCAGTGCGTAAAATCGTTTGTGCAAATTTTGAAGTTCATTTACGTAACTGTGCATGCGGATTTGATGCATTCTGTCATTACTTTTATCCCGCGTTACGCAGGTGTTTGATAGATATTGGTTTTTTTTTCCTACCCAAATTCAGCATCGAATAGTTCTGCTGATATGCGTTCATCCATTATTCGGACGTGTTTATGTTCGCCCTATTATTCACGGGGATGCAAACCATCGGTAATAGTAATAACTGTGATGCACACACACACATTTCGAGTCCTCGTTTGCTTCACACTTGTTTGCTTGTTCGGCACATTACCTAACTGAAACATGATGTTTTAACAGCAATTCAGTCGAGTACCAACAGTATGTTACAATACTGTTAAATAATGTTTTTTTTCATAAACTTTAACTTTGATCAACTTTTGTATATCTTAATAATATAATTTCTATATTTGTGACAACTTTTTTAATTACCTAGACTCATTATCTAATTAAAATTTGTTTTATGAATTTTCTTATTTATAAATTTATTGCGTGATCATATTATAATATTACAGCTAATACTCGGTTTTACCTTAGTTATTTAATAATTCGGTTCTCAAACAATATTCCAAAACAAAAACGTTTCCGAACAACCTTCAAGAAAATATTATTTACCGATGGCTATGAAAATAAAAAAAAATCCCGACAGCATCTTTTATATATTAAAGTATATTATGAATAAGTCTATATCAAATAATAAAAGATAATGTCGGGATTATTGCTGTTGGGATTTGAAATGTCAGAAATTTGATTGTCGGGATTTCGATATAAACTCATTATTTACAATTATTTATACAATTTTTAAATTTATAATATTAAACAAACACCAATAATTAATTAAAAAACACCACAAACACAAATATTTGATTGAAAACGTATTTATATATGTAATTAAACATATACTGAAATTATTTTCCTGCATAAATAATTGCGATTTTTGTTATTTCAAATGTTGATTAATGCATAAACTTATATTAAAATATGTTTATATAATATTAAATTAGCTTTATTAATTTATACTAATTATTTGCTTTATTGTAAATTCAAAATGAAGGGAAAAAATTAAATCAAAAATTGCAAATTCTAGAGATTTTATTGCGTAAAGTAGGGGAAACTTTTTAATTAAATTATACGATATTCCCTAAGGAGCGATTCGAGATTGCACATAAATATTTTAATTTGCTTAGGTAAGATTAAAAAGAAGAAATTTTAATTTTTTTTAACTTCAATTAACATATAAAAAACTTCAAAATTTTATTATGTAACTTTGAAAATATTGCATAGAATGGGATTAAAACACCATAATTTTATGAAGTTATTAGGTAATCATAAAAAATGCAGCTCCAAAATTTTTGCTACAAAAAAAACAAAATTTAAGATTCTTATAAAATAATACAAATCAAACAAAGAGTTAACCATAGGTTTTTAATGTAAAATTTGAATAAATAAGTGTAAAATAAAATTAAAAGTTTACACACTGATTAATATATTAAAAATTCGCTATAGAAAAAAATGTGTAATATTGTACTTTAACGCATTGATTTTGTACAAATAAACGTATGTACATTTTCAAATATCGCATTATTTATTTACTCGCATTTCGTGCGAAAATGAAATATTATTTCCATGAATTCCATTTTCTATCAAATATTCACAGAAAAAATAATAGGCGCATTTTCACATGTAAAAAATATATATATGAATTTTATGGAAAAACATATATTTACAGCGAAAATATTATAAATATATAATTAGTTATTATTTTACAAATATAAAGACACAAATCATCATTGCAATGATCATTTATGTATATTTAATATAGATTTGGATTAGATTAGGATAAAAAACATTGAATTCCCAAAAGTAAAATGGAGAATTTACTAAGATTATTGAATTACTCTCTGATTTTATTAAATATAGAAACAAGTTTTATTAGGATAAAAGTAAAGTTCACAAGGCTTTAAAGGATTAAATTTATCATTGATTTTTGTAATTATAGGTTAGATTAGTTTATAACGCTAAAACCACTAAATTTAGAAGATTTTACATTACTCACATATTTTATTTAAATATGAATAACTTTGATAAAAATTAACAAGTAATGGGTAAAAGTTTTAACTTCGTTTTTATTATTTTCTACTGCTATGATACAAAAATTGTGCAAATTCCTTTTAATTAGAACGAATTGAAACTAATCAATTTTTGTGTATAAAACAAATGAAACCGAACAAAGCATTATTTCCATGAATTCAAATTTCTATCAAATAATGACAGAAAAACAAATATGTGAAATTTCGCGGAAAACATATTTCCAACGAAAATATTATAAATATTCTATTTGTTTTTGCGTTTATATTTTATAAATATTAACATAAAAATCAATACATTTCTGTTATATTATAGTAATATCTACTAAAGGTTTAAACTAAACTAATAATGAAGTTAGTGAATGATTTAATATAGAAATTGTGATACAATAAATTAAGTAACTAAAAGTTTAAAGTACGTGAACCCATGATTTACAAATTATAAGAACAGCATTAATATGGGGATTTTAAATTGCCTGTATATCTAATCTAAGCTATGGTTCTGTACTTACATACTGTCCCCCTATACTATTTACACAGGAACCTCGGATTTCGTACATAATTATTCCTTAAAAGTTGTTGGACAACCGACAATTGTGTTTGAGAACCGAATTATCGAGAACTAAAGAGTTCGTAAACCGAAATTCCACTGTAATATTATAATAGTCATGCTTAATTTCATTTTTGATTGATAAATAAGAAAAATTGAAAACAAATATAGACTTTTTTCTTGCTTCAAAACTATTTTTATATTATATAAGAAATCACTGTTTTTATTTTATCTAATTGAGTTTAATCTAATTACTGGATAAACGTGTTAAAATATATCATTATTTTATTGATTGGTATTATATGGATCAATTAGGGTTGAAAAATAAGCAATTTATGCGGCGAAGGGTTGAAAAGATGAAAAGGAATAATAAAAAAAGGCATCCCTTTCATTTGCATTGTAAATAAATCGTTTCTGCTAATATTTGCTAACTTCATAGCAAGTGTTGCATGCATGCTTTTGTCTGGATGTGTGAAGGGGTGGAATCCCCCGAACGTTCGGCGTACATTTGCCGTCGGCTTAATTGATTTTTGATGTTTCAGGAAATTGTTGCAAGCGACAATCCGTGCAAACAAAACGTCCCACTTTTTGTGGATCGGAAGCGACTCCTGGGGTGCAAAAGTCCATCCTGTCAGGGATCAGGAGTTCGCCGCCGAAGGTGCGATAACCATTCTTCCACACCGCAACGCAATCAAAGGTAATGTATTACATCTATCTTCATTCTCATCCGTAGCCAATGTGTTGTTCCTCGCGGCTCTATTTTATAGTAGAAGGTCACCACCTCATCCGTTAGAAATTCGGATATTGGATTATCCACATTCTAAATCCAATTTCAAATGATGAAGCGATGCATTTGTTTAAAACCCATTACAAATGGATGAACTAAACGATACAAGTCATACAATTTATTATAGTATTACTACTCTCTGTTTTATTGAAATAAAAATCTAGTTTAAGCACATAAATTTGGATAGAAGACAGATATTATTCACAAATCCAATATCGAATGATGAAACGATGCATTTGTTTAAAGCCTATTACAAATGGACGAATTAAACAAAACAAGACCACAGTTGAATAATTTCCCTTTGTTTTATTAAAAGGAAGTAGATTAAAAACTTTAATTAAATTTACTTCTCAATAAATTGTGGCTACGCCGGGTACATATGTTTTTAATTATACTTTATGTTTTGTATATTTTTTTTGAATATTAATATTATGTGTACTAATTATTATTATTTATTTAATTAATTACGTAATTTTAATTAATTACAAAAACATGAAGTTTTTTTTTAAATTTCACCTATCCCTCGTTTTACACGGTACTTTCTTTACTCGTTCTCGTTTAAAAAAAAATCGTGTAAAAGTCAAAACGTTTAAAAATGTACCGTGTAAAACGAGACATAGATGTATTACATTATTATTACTTTTAAGTTCGACTTAAAGGAATTAGAAAACCAAATATTATAACAGGGAGAGTTTTTCTATATTCACTGGAAAAGCTAATGCAATGAATATCATTTACGTATAATATTATTATAAATTTCTATAATGGAAATATCATGTTTCAAATTAAAATTTGTTATTAAATCTTATATGATATGCGTTTTCCACTGCACATATTCCCATTCGTTCGTGATAGATGATCTGCGTGTATTCTCCCATATATTTTTTTTGTTACATGCTCCATGCATTAAATCAGAGTTACTGGCCGCTTGCATTTTAATGAAAAATTAAAGCCAGAAGTGGTCGGGCTTATACGTCATTCCACTTTGCAAAATCGTAACTTTCCCAGTTAGAAAGAGAGAGGAAAAAAAAAATAAAGTAACAAACGTAAACTCGACCGGATGAAAAGGCAGTTTTCCCTACCAATATCTTCAAGTTGAGAGCTGAACGCCACGTCTTCAGCACTTTTAATAAGATAACGTAATACTTAAAGATTGGTTTACGAGCCAAGTAAGTTCCTCGAAATCGGAGACGCTTTTTTCATCCTTAACTTTATTTCTTTCTAGATACATTTGTTTTTTTTATTCACTTGTGCGCTTTGCTATAATTTACGAGCGAGTTAATTATTTCTCGCGAATTAATTCGTTTTTATCCGGTATTCTGGATAATCAGCAGAGCCTCTCGGTTTCAAGGATAAAGTGTTTCGCTCTCATTTCGGTTTATTGCTAAGGATATTTTACACAAAAAAAGAACAGGGTTTGGGTCATTACTTGCACAGCATTTTTCAAGCAGGCAAAAACTCTTCATTATCTTGTCAAGAACAAAACCTGAAAAAAATAATTGAAAGATTATATAATCATAATCATTATATTCATTTAATTCATTATTACGTCAAACCCTTGTTCTTTTCTGTACTTAAAAATTATTAAGTTGCATCCTCTCTCTGTAAATGTCTCTTTAATTCGATTTTATGTTTTTTATTGATTGAAATATCCTGCAATATAAAAAATATAATTTAAATTAAGTCCTTTTAGTACTGGTATATTTCAATTACCTGCCTCGATTTAGCAGATGCATATTGCTTTGTCGTTACAAAATAATTGAAAAATGTAGCTGCAGGCTCCATATTCATTTACTACGTTTTGTACATCAATTCAATTTGTCGCATTGGAAATCCGGAGTTTCATATTGTTATTGTTACATGAATTAATATGATCACGTTTCTCTCTATTGGTTATTTTTATTTCATATTGAAATTGTTTTGTGAAATGAATATTTTATTAATAAATTTATATAAATAAGGTATATTATTATTCAAGAAAAAACAATACTAAGAAAATAAGGATTGGTACGTGTTTCTTTAAAGGACTTGGAATGATAAATGAAGCGACTGTAAAATAAAGAAACAAGACATTTTATTTCCTTAGAGACGAAAATGATTTGATATTTTTTTGTATTAACCGCATGTATTATGTAAATTTATACATGTACCAATTTTTCAATTGTCGTAATATTTTCTTTAATCTTGTTGTTTTCAATTTAAACTTTAATTGGTAGTTAACAATTGTTTTATAACAATGATGAGTTTTGGAGTCAATAAACTTAAAACTTAATTAAAGCTATGCACTGAATCTTAGAGTTCGAAGCGCTGAAGTCTTTGTGTTGCTTTAGTATTGTCAAGTAGGTTAATGGCCAGAACATTAATATGAGATTCTACATGACTTTATGCTAGTGTTTTCGACTGTGCCAAAATGAAGATCCTTATAAAGTTTCTAGAAGGTAACGAAACAACTTTTATTAAGAATATTATTTAAAACTTTCAATTAATACAATTACTACTATCAATTACTCAGAAAAAATACATTATAATAAAATGAATTCTGTAATTGTCATTAGATTTCTAAATTAATCAATTTAATCTAAATTTTATACACGCCGCTGATCCGCAAACTATTAAAAGATAACATTTTTAATCTGAAATTTGTATGGCATCTTGGAATATTGCCTAATTTTTATTATCACCTTTCTATTTTAATCTAAATTTTCTCATAATCCATTATTATCATAGATAAAGTTTGTTTAGCGCTTAGGATACGTTTCAAAAGTATTATTTGGAAGTTCATCTATATGCTAAGTGTATGTTGCTGAAAAAAATGCAAATTTCCAAATTACCAAATACTGTTTTAAGTCTACATTTTTAAATTAACTTTCATGCAGTTTACCAGAAACGCAATGAATAATTATGCAGATTGTTTTATAAAGAAATTCCGAAAAATTAGTTATTCCATGTTCCATAGGAATAAACTCGCGTTGGTCATCCTTTTTACTTTCACAGAGCTTTCGGTGTCGTCCTGATGTGAAGGGGAGCTATCGACTCATTGGCATCAGGACGCAATAAATCCTCGTTCGCGGTACAGGTCCTGCCTCCTTTTATCCGCGATAGCTTATTTATGGTTTCAACAACTCCCATTTTATTGCCAAAACAGGATTCGCCGAGAAATTAATCTATTCACCTACTTCCGCTATTATTATTATGTTTGTTCCTCATTATTTCCTCTCTCTCTCATTCATAATAGACCAAGAATTCAACCCTTCACTTCCGGATATATATTTTTTTTCCTGCTCTCAACTCCACGCACTTAGCCCAGTTCATGAGGGCTTTCGAAATAGAATGACCCTGGCTTAAAGCTGTTGCAGCGGAATCCGTTTCGCGTCGGGAAGTCTATAAAGAAGTCAGGGAATGGAGATAGCCGGCATAGATATGGACCGTGTCTGAATTTTAACCTTGCCTGACGAAAAAAAAAAATAGCGTGAAGGAAAAAAAATGATGATAATAAAAGGAAAATACGAAAAGTCCCTTCGGTAGGGTGGCGGCTGCAAAAAGTGTACAGTCGTGACGAAACTTAATACGTCCCCTCGCTCGCTTCTCCATCCCTCTGTGTCCTGCCGTTATCCCTACAGAAGGACCAGATGAGGAATATATATATATAATGTCGTCCTCGCGCAGCTTGTTCCGCTATTAATACAGCTTCCTGATTTCACTTCCGTCCTCCCTTATCCTTCTATATATATATATTTTTTGTCCTCCGGAATCTTCTTAACTCATTCAATTGCGGCTGTTATTCCCATTTTCTTGTCCTGTTTTTCTGCTTTGTTGGGGGAATTGAATGAACTGATGCCTCATTGATGATTACGTGGAAATTGCTTTCTACGGATAACTTTGTAAAACACGAAAGTATGGATGTTGTGGCTTTCAGTAAAACCAACTTTCATATTAGAAATAATGGACATAATAATCTCATATCGTACAATAATTTATTAACTATAAAACCAGATGCATTTACAATTACTATTTTATTAGTAAATAATATAAAAAAATGTTAGTAATTAACAAGTAATTATCACATACAAAGATTCTGTTATATGTGAAATTTGGAAGGACAAATCATGTATGGGTTGAGAGGTTACTAATTACATAAAATATTATGATAATCAAATATGAAAGAACAAATCATATATGGGATGGAAACATATTTAACATAAATTTGGAAGAAGTAAGGACATATTTTATTTAAATATGTAAGGACTAAGGACTAAGGACTAAGGACTAAACATTATCTTTATTAGTTTTCCTTTAAACTTAAATATTGAACGGATTAAGAGCAACTCATCAAAATATTGGACGAGAGGACATCAATTAGTAGTGTACGTCTTCGGTATTAGACTAAAATAGATATGAAAACATTAGGGCAACATTCGACTCCAGCAATACCATGTATTGTTTAATTAATTTAATTAATGGATTTGCTTCATTAATTAAGCACACAATGGGATATTACAGTATCTAGCAATAGTCTGATGACAATTCAAGTTTGCGCATTAAATTTTCATAATGCTCATTAGTGCAAATAATTAGGAAATAAACAATAATAATTGGAGCGAAATGTTACAGAAATTAAAGAGATGTTTTTATATATAAAATAATGATTTTCACATACAGATATTTTGATTTTTATATAAAATTTTGTTAGTTAATTAGAAATATTTGCAATGAAAATATATTTTTAAATCAATTTAAAAAAAATCGTTGTTATGTGTAACATGATATAAATTATACAAAAAGTATAATAATAATCTTTATTTTCATAAATAACATTAAAAAAATAAAATAAAAAAGATTAACTGCAACAAAAGGGCCAAAAAGTATAAATCCTCATTTTAACAATACATTATTTACATACAGCACACGGA